GCTACTGGATTCGGATCACAGAAGCTCTGGTCATTGTGGCCATCTGGGAAGTGAACCAGCCAATGGAAAACATTCCTCTTTCTCATCCTCCAAGTGTATGTAAATCTCTCTCTCTCAAATACATAAATAAAATCCTAAAAAAGTTCTTACATGTTCATGGATTGGAAGATTCAATATCATCCAAATGTCCATACCACCACAGACAATTAACAAGTCAACGTGTTACCAATCAATATACCAAGGAGATGCATCTCAGATATAGCAGAAAATGATGCTGAAATTCATAGGGAAACACAGCAATTTCCCAAAACCTAAAGGAACCTTACAGAACATAAATAAAGCCAGAGGCATACAACACTAGATTTCAAGACATACTACAGGGGAGGTATCATCAAGACTGCATGGTACTGGTACAAAACATACGGGCAGACAAATGAAATAGAATGGGAATGCCAGAAATCAACCGTCACTTCTACAACCAAGTGGCATCTTTGACCAAGGAGCTAAAAGCAATCCCTGGAACAGAGACAGTCTCTTCAACAGTAGTGCTGAGAAAACTGTACCTCCACATGCAGAAATATGAAGCCAGACCCCTACCTTACACCTTATACAAAAATCCACTCAAAATGGATTATAGCCCTAAGTCTAATACCCGATACCATCAAACTATTGGAGCCCTTTGGGGAAACCCTTTCAGGCATTTGCATAGGAAAAGAGTTCTTGGAAAACACCCCAGAGGCACAGGCAACCAAAGCCAAATTTGACAAATGGGATTACATCAAACTGAGTAGCTTCTGCACTGCAAAAAACAGACTCAGCAAAGTGAAGAGGCACTGACAGATGGTGAGAAATCATTGCCAGCTGTGCAACTATTTAGGAAGTTCAAGAGTCTCAACAAGAAAACAAACAACCCAGTTAAGAAACGGGAACATTTCTTAAACAGGCATTTTTCAAAAGAAGAAGTCTAAATGGCCAACAGACACATGAAAAAATGCACAGGATCATTACCTATCAGGGAAATGCATATCAAAACAACAATGAGGTTTTACCACACCTCAGTTAGAATGGCTTCATACAGAAATCAACAGCCAAGAAATGCTGTCGAGGATGTGGGGAAAAAAGTACACTAATCCACTCTTGGTGGGAATGTTTACTGGTACAGCCACTGCGGAAGACAATAGGAAGTTACCTCAGAAAATCGAATATAGAACTTGGGAAGGTCTGTTTTACCCCTACATTTGTTAAAAGTTACTTTTTTTCAAACACCTGCTCAATGTTGACACTCAGAACTTGCAGTGTCAGACTCCCAGGGCCCCATTAGGACCCTTAGTACACAGTGTTGATGAAGTTTCAACTGTCTCACAATCTGTGCCCTATTCCAAGCCACCCCCTAATTTGAAGGCCCAGTTTAGGCCCCTTGAGCACAAAACTGGCCACCCTGTAAATCTTCTCTGATTCTTGCTCTTCTGAGGCTGGCAAGACACTGCCACACTGGTGGTCTCCATATCTGTGGTGACACACAGAGAGGGATATGCACCCACATGCCCAGAGATGTTCCATCCACTGGTTCACTGCCCAGAAGTCATAATACCCAGGCCTAGGCCAGACCAAAGCCAGGAGCCCAAAACCATATCTGGTCTCCTGTGTCAGTAGCAGAAACCCAAGTACTTGGGCCACTATCTGCTGCCTCCTACGTCCACCAGCAGGAACCTGGATTGGAAGCAAAGAGAAGCTGGCGCTCCAACGAGGCACTCCTATATGGGACATGAGTTGCCCAAGTGGTGCCTTAGGTAGTTAGCTCTGTCTCTACTTCTCTTATAACAAAGAGTGTTATAAGGAGCTCTTCTGATTGGTTTAAAGGTAGATTTTTTTAAACCTCCGTGTATTTCCTTTTTGATTCTTACCAGCTGAGCGGCGCAAGAAAAATTTGTCAATTATGTGTACCTCGTATTTCTCAACTTGAAAAATTGAGATAAAAAGTAAAAAAGATAAATGGAGATAAAAAGTAGTTCCAGGGCCCAGAACTGTGGTGCAGCAGTTTCAGTCAATGCTTGCAGTGCTGGCACTACACATAGCTGCTGGTTCAAGTCCTGGCTGCTCTGCTTCTGATCCAGCTCCTTGGTAATGCTCCTGGAAATGCAGCGGAGCATGACCCAAATATTTGGGCCTCTGCACCCATGCTGGCGACCTGGATGAAGCTCCTGGCTCCGGGTTTCAACCTGGCCCAGCACTGGCTTTTGAGGCCATTTGTGGCGTCAATAAGCACATGGAAGATCTTTCTCTCTCTCGCTGTCTCTCCCTCTTGAATTGTGTGTGTGTAATTCTGCCTTCAAGTAAGTAAAAGAAATCTTCAAAAGAATGCAAAGTGTAAGATAGACAGGGCCCGCGCCACGGCTCAATAGGCTAATCCTCCACCTGCGGCGCCGGCACACCGGGTTCCAGTCCCGGTCGGGGTGCCGGATTCTGTCCCGGTTGCCCCTCTTCCAGCCCAGCTCTCTGCTGTGGCCCGGGAGTGCAGTGGAGGATGGCCCAAGTGCTTGGGCCCTGCACCTGCATGGGAGACCAGGAGAAGCACCTGGCTCCTGCCTTCGGATCAGCGCGGTGCACCGGCCGCGGCGGCCATTGGAGGGTGAACCAACGGCAAAGGAAGACCTTTCTCTCTGTCTCTTTCTCTCTCTGTCCACTCTGGCTGTCAAAAATAAATAAATTTAAAAAAATAAAAAGATAGATAGACATGCTGTAAAAATTGAGTGAAATCAGGTATGTGAAGCTGAAAAAATGGTATTTACATATTAGCTGCCAAAATAACAAACACAAATATAATCATTATTAGTGTAATAATAGTCAACTGACTGTCATTCTCAAGTAGAAGCACAGTTTTGAATGTCACATCATAGAAATATGAAAGAAAGAAGCAATCAGAGCATTTTTGATTTAGAATCGGACTTAAACCTACCTCAAATAGCCAAGAACATGCAGTGACTGAGTTGAAAAATGAGATACAGAAATCCAAATTCATTGGTGCCTCTTTCTTGCTCTTGCTCACTCCTTGATTCTTCCTTCCCCTGCCACCTCCATCATCACGGCTTTAAATACTTAACAGTTTACTATAGATTTATTCAGGGAACTTAAAATTCTATCCAAGAGAAAAAGATGTCCCGGTGGGTGTCCGGTGCCACATGCCTGCCTCTGGCTTAGCATGGGCTGTGGAAGACTGGGGCATTGCTGGCCTCTGATTGTCGAGGCAGTGTTGGATTAGGTGAGGCCCTTTCATTGTCAACCCCTCAGGATATATTTATATAAAATATGGGTATTCCCCCCGAGAAGGACTGCTAATAAATGCATGCTTTTCATTGCTAAAAGAAAAAGTGGAAAACACATCTGCAATCTACCGCTGGCTTAGACAGACACACCATCCAAAGACTGTAATTCTGGGACTTTTCCAAGAAACCTTGACGGCTGTCACCACACTGACAGACTTGGGCCCTATTCTGAAAATGTACAATGTTGGCAGACTTTGACACTCAAATGGAGTGAAATGTATTAGGTTTTCATTTATTTTCCTTCTTCTTCCAAACTGCATTATAACACTATCTGGGGAAAATATTTTAGCCAGGAGTACTACATTGTCATAAACAGACAGAAAAGGGCTGGTGCTGTGGCGTAGCAGGTTAAGCCAACGCCTGTAGTGCCAGCATCCCATATGGGCGCTGGTTTGAGATCCAGCTGCCCCACATCTGATCCATCTCTCTGATATGGCCTGGAAAAGCAGTCGAATATGCCCAGGTCTGTGGGCCCCTGCACCCGCGTGGGAGACCTGGAGGAAGCTCCTGGTTCCTGGCTTCAGATGAGCACAGCTCCGGATATTAAGGCCAACAGGGGAGTGAACCAGCAGATGGAAGACTACTCCTTCTGCCTCTCCTTTTCTCTCTGTGTAACTCTGACTTTCAAATAAATAAAAAAATCCTAAATAAAAAAAAAAAAAAACAGAAAAGATAACAAGGTCTTAAATAAAGCTGATGACAGATATGTAAGTTTTAGAGTATGTTATATTTAATCAAAATATGCTACCCCATTGGAAATTTCAATTACATTTTCCAAGGTCAGTGAGTATAGGTGATGATCCGCCAACTCTTACATAATCTGCTCATTTTAAAATCTGCATGTCATTTGTAAAGTTGGTAGTTCATAAATTAACTCAATAAATACTCTTTGATTAATGTGAACAAGATGTTACTAGTAAGTTTCCAAATAATTCTAGCTGGCTTGTTTAACATTAAGATAAAATGCTCCCCACTTGGTTAAGTGATAAATTTACCTGCACTGGTTAAGAACGGATCCCTTCCAAGTTAACAGAGATTATGGATGTTAATATGAGAATCATGTTTTTTATTTATTTATTTATTTATTTATTTATTTTTTGACAGGCAGAGTGGACTATTATGCCAGGATTGAGTATTGCAAGCATGCTGATTTAAGCCACCCTGTGGTGCATGCGTATCCCGTATTGGGGTGCCTGGTTTAGTCCTCACTTCTGATGCAGCTTCCTGCTAATGCACACTATGGGGACTGGTGTGATGCTTCTGGTACTGGGGTTCCTACCATGTACGTGGGAGACCCAGATGGGGTTCTTGGCCTTGGCCTTGCCCAGCCCCAGCTCTTGTAAGCATTTGGGGAGTGAACCAGTAGCAGAAATCTCCCTCTTTCCCTTTCTCATTCTTTCTCTACCTCCTTTCCTTCTTCCTTTTTCTCTCCCTCCTTATTTTCTTCTTTTTTGAAAATATTTATTTATTTGAATGACAGAGTGACAGGGGTTAGTGACAGAGGGAGAGTGAGAGAGCGCGAGAGAGAGTGGGGGGGGATATTAATAAACCATTTTAAACGTTGAGAATCATTATTACAATTAGCTTACATTTAAGATAAATACTCATTTAAGGCTAAAATCTTCTTTTTTTGTTTTCCTATTTGCCTTTTAGTATGAGGGTAATTCAAAAAGTTACCATAGGGGCAGATTGTCAGCCTGGTCGTTAAGATGCCAGTTAAGGGATCAGAGCTGTGGTGGAATCAGCTAAGCTTTGGCCTGCTGCACCATGGCCGTTCATGTCCTGGCTGCTCCTCTTCTTAGCCAACTCTCTGCTAATGGCCTGGGAAAGCAGTGGAAGTTGGTATAAGTGCTTAGGCCTGTGTACCAGCGTGGTAGACACAGAAGTAGATCCTGGCTCCTGGCTTTGGATCTACCCAGCTCCAACCATGGCTGCCATTTGGGGAGTAAATGAGCAGAGAGAAGGCTTTTCTCTCTGTCTCTGCCTCTGTCTGTAACTCAAACTCTCAAGTAAATAAATCAAATATTTTTCTTTATTCAACATGGCATTTAAGACACTCACGTTTCACACTGGATCACCCCCATTGCCCACAAAAAAAGTTCCATATGTATTTTCACCAAAATATTATTTACATAACGTATTATTTGACCACTTCTACTCTGAACAGCTATCAGGCACTCCAGAACATCTGGTAAGACCAGATATTTCAAAAAATACTCAGGACTATCAACTTTATGTAGCGGTGAAAAAATGCACACAGGAAACAATAGTTGTGACAAAGAGATGTCTTCTCCACATGACCAGGTTGCCCTAGAACCATCCCTCCTTCCCTTCCTCCTCACACTCCTTTGCTCCAGGACCTCGAACCTTCTGAAAGGCCACAGCGGAAGTCCCTCAGGGGTGCCCCCAAGGTATGGGTTAATCAAGGCCACTTATGGCCACTTCCAGAGAACATGTCTTTCCTATGATAATTCCACTAGCAATGGGAGCTCGCAAGACATGTGATTTTTCTAAGTCCACCCTATCATACGTTGGAAAGCTCTGTCCATCTAGAAGGCCTAGACGCAGGCAAAGCATTTTGTTTGTAAAGGCCGAGGGGAAAGCTGAGAACAGCTTGTTCCAGTTATATCCACAGGCCTTCTAAAAGGGGCCAGCACACCTTCCCGAGGGCGGCTGGCCTTTCCAGGCGGGCTTCTCCCTGATACAGCCCGTCCACCCACGCCCATGGGTACTCACCGCTCTGCTGGCCATTGTCCCACGGGGCTCTGCTCCCTGCCGGGCCGAGGAGTCCTTGGTAGTTGTCGTCATCATCTACAGCCCAGGTGAGGTGTTGGCCAACTGTGACACAGCGCTCACCGCAGGTCCCGGATCTGCGTGGCCACAAGGCCTGAAAGCCTGGCCTGGCCGGCGTCTGTAGACCCCGACTTCTCAGGCCCTCAAAATCATGATGGCCATCACAGCATTGGAGTCACCGCACCGCCACCACTCAAAGGCGCAGTGTCCTTGGTGCCTCAGAGCATGAGCCTCACAGAGGCCCACGGGGTTGGGCCTGGAGCCTCAGCTGCTGGTGGGGTGCAGAGCCCTTACTCTCGGAGGCGGGGAAAGGTCTCTGAGGCAATCGCCCACAGGAGATCACTGAGGTGGGACCGGGGGACTTCGCCGCCTCTTCAAGGCCCCGATCAGGGACACCGATCAGTGGCAGCCCGGGTTCAGGTGTGTGCAGCCCAGATGCAATAGTCCATCCCGGAGAGCCCTGGGGCTCAAACTGCATCTGAGTTCTCAGCAGGAACTCCCACTTTGTCTCTTTTAAGTTTTTGTGCTAAAACATATGTTGTTTAGCTGTACATATGAAATTTGCATGCATGAAATAAAAGCTTTAAATCAAAGAAGTCTAAGATGTTTGATTTCAGGAAGGTTTCAACTGCCCTCTTCTTTTCTGTTCCCATGGGATATCTTTTCCCTTCTCTCACTTTCAGTCTATGTGTATCATGGTAGGGGTCTTTCTTCTTGGCAGCAAATAGATGGGTCTTGTGTCTTAGTCCATGCGCATAAATAACAATGGACACAGGATTGGAACATTGTAAGAGGAAGGGAACCCTTCAATGCATACTCCCTCACACCAAACCCCGCCCCCACCTGACGCTGGCCACCACCCAGTGCTGTCAGCATTCTCTCCTAGACCTCAAGATTTATGCCATTCCCAAAATGTAAACCCTCCTATGAAATGACAAACTGCTTACCTGGGTGTTCATTTTAAGCACCTAGAGACCCGATGTCTCCAGGGAGGACTGCATGCTCCACCCACCACAAATGAGCCTCTAAAAAACCCACCCATGTCACAAAGTCTCCAAAGTGAATGCCTTCTCAACAAGAACACTGTGCCTTGCAAACCATTCCCTTCGCATTTCGACAAACCCAGTGGACCTGTATAACCACCTGTAATACGTACAGGGAATTTAACCTCTTCACTTCTGTGATGGAATGAGAATGCCGAGCCAGGATGGCGCTGGCGAGAGAGTCAGACCTGTGCTCAGCTACTCAGGAAATGATAGGGATCCTCCTGGTAAGGGAGCCTGCCTTGCAACAGGCTGTGATTGGTTACGGCCTAAACCTCCCCTTGAGCAGCTTGGCTGCCTGGGCTGTAGAAGCATACGTACTTCCTGGAATGAATGAGCCTGTGACCTGCTCGCCTCTAGCCTGCTTTCACCTGACTCCCAGTATCCGTGTCTTGATTCTGCGCCACTTCTCCCCAGTCCATTCACGGCAAACTAAGAAAGCCACCCATGTAAGAAAGGCTCTAATGTGAGTGTCTTCTCAACAAGCACATTGTGCCTTGCAAACCATTCCCTTCCCAGCTCCACCAACCCAGTGGACTTGGATAACCGCCTCTAACACTTACAGGGAATCTAACAATTTCACTTCCATACTGGTTCAAAGAACAGTGTTTCCCACGAGTGGTAACACAAAGCAGACTCAAAGAAATTGAGCACTAACTCTACTTTCAGCATACCCCAGCAACCCCTTGAACACCTACAAAGACTAGATGTTGTAAAGCAGCATGCCTTTGCCCTGTATATGTACATTCTAGACACAGCAAAGAAAAGAAAAACAACATGACAAACAGCATGGCCCATGCTTAACCTTGTCACTCCACACACAAGCTGGCAAAAAGCCCTTTACTTTTTTTCCACCACTTCACCCTGAAGCAGCACCAAACACAACAGATGCAGCTCTTGCAAAAGTTCACAGAAAATACTTCGTACGAAGAAGCTGTATGGGCTTCAATTTGTTTGCACCAACATAAGCTTCTTCTGATTTCATTTTCCATGAACTTTCTGAAGTCTTCTCAGGTCAGGGCTTGCCCACTAAGAACACAACACCTTAAACAAAATTGCGCATCGTCTAAAGGTTAGGATCTGGGGTATCCTTTAAATGTGACCAGTTTGGTCTGGAGCCGTTCCCTTCTCACTTTCCTCTCTGCCTTCGATCTAGTAAACAGGTACAAGCTTATGTAATGCTTAGAGATGGCTTCACCCACGGACATCCAAAAGTCATTTACAGAGGATGAGCTTTCCTATGAATTTAAATACAAATTCTGTCATACATATCATCTGCAATCTTGATGTTGCAACATTAGGACTCCTTTGACCATTATACACACACTATACAGAGTAAAAGGAAATGTAGAAAACATACAGGGAAATGGCTGAAAACATCCCAAGTAGCAACACCTTTTGCAGTTCCTCGCCTCCTACCTCCTCTAAAACGCAGAACAAGCACAGGTGGCACAAGGCTCACTGTGGTGGCCAAAAATTCCATTCCCCAGAGATGCAATTCATGATTGTTACCGAAAAGATATTTACAACGCGATTTCACTCCTTCTGTGTTTAACCTACATTTAGGAACTTCTGAAAAGGGCCAGCACACATTCCCTAGGGCAGCAGGCCTCTCGGGGCGGCCTTCAACATGATGACACCACTGTCAGCAGGAGCCGAGACCACCAGCCCATGCCCACGGCCACTCACCGCTCCACCTCCTGTCCTCTCGTGAGGCTCTGCCTATGGAACAGATGAGGCGTTGGCCAACTGTGACACAGCGGTCAACCCAGGTCCTCGATCTGGGTTGCCCCAAAGCCTGAAAACATGGTCAGGGATCCATAGATCCCGCCTTCTCTGGCCCTCCAGCTCTTAATGGCCACTGCGGCATTCGAATGGCCTCACCATCACCACTCAAAGGTGCAGCGTCCTTGGTGCCTCGGGGCAGGGGCCTCAGAGGCACCGCGGACTTTGGCCTTCAGCCCAAGCAGCTGGTTGTGTACGGAGGCCTAACTCTTGGAGCCAGGGTCTGCATTCTGAGGCATCGCCCACAGGAGATCACTGAGCTGGGCCCGGGGGGCTTTGCCGCCTCTTCAAGGCCCCAACTAGGGCCGTCAATCAGTGGCAGCGAGGGTTCAGGTGTCTGCAGGCCAGATGCCATAATCCATCCCGGAGTGCCCTGGGGGAGCAAACTGCATCTGAGTTCTTTGCGGGAACTCCCTCTATGTCAATTTTCCTGCTGAAGTATATGTTGTTTAGCTGTACATAGGGAATTTGGAATCAGTAAATAAAATCCTTAAATAAAAATGTCAATGTTGTTTGATATTAGAAAGCCCTTTTCAGTTCGCATCAAATATCTTTTTTCCTTCTTTCAGTCTATGTGTCATGTTAGGAGTTTGTCTTCTTGGCAGCAAATAGATGGGTCTTGTTTCTTAGTCCATGCACGTATATAACAACAGATAGACAACTGGAACTTTATAAAAGGAAAGGAACCCTTCGACGCATACTTCCATACTCCAACCCCAACCCCACCATCCACCATCCACCATCCACCATCCACCATCCACCACCCACTGACTTCAGCATTCTCTCCAAGATCTCAAGATTGTTGCCATTCCCAAAATGTAAACCCTCCTATGAAACAACAAACTCCTTACATGGGTGCTCATTTTAAACACCTAGATATCTGATGTTTCCAGGGAGGACTTCAGGTTCTCATGCACCACTGTAGTCTCTAAAAAACCCACCCATGTAACAAAGGCACTACACAACAAGAACACTGTGCCTTGCAAACCATTCCCTTTCCACTTCTACCAACCCAGTGGACTTGGATAACCACCTGAAATACTTACACTTTACTTCCATACTATTTTATTATTATTATTATTATTATTATTTATTTGACAGATAGAGTGAGTGAGAGAGAGACAGAGAGAGACAGAGAGAAAGGTCTTCCTTCCGTTGGTTTACCCCCGAAATGGCCGCTATGGCCGGAGCTATGCAGATCTGAAGCCAGGAGCCAGGTGCTTCCTCCGGGTCTCCCATGCAGGTGCAGGGGCCCAAGCACTTGAACCATCCTCCAATGCCTTCTCGGGCCACAGCAGAGAGCTGGACTGGAAGAGGAGCAACCAGGACTAGAACCCGGTACCCATATGGGATGCCGGAACCGCAGGCAGAGGATTAGCCAAGTGAGCCAAGGAGCCAGCCCCCCCATACTGGTTTTAAAAACAGTGTTTCCTAGGAGTGGTAACACAAAGCAGACTCAAAGGATCTGTGCACTAACTCTGCTTTTAGCATACACCAGCAACACCATGAACATCTATGAACACTAGATGTTGTAAAGTAGGACATGTTTGCCCTGTAAATGTACATTACTTACACACCAAAGAAAAGTAAAACAACACGACTAACAACATGAACCATGCTTAAACGTGTCCACCGCACACACGTCGGCAGAAAGCTCGTTAGATTTTTTTCCCCCACTGCTTCTTCCCTTAAAGCAGCACCAAACACAACAGTTTGTACTACTCAGACAAGGAGTGCCTGGTTCCATTCACAAGGGACTGCAATTCGTATCAATTTCACAAAAGGATAGCTACAAAATCATTATACATTACCTCTACTTTTAACATACTTTGTGCACTTCTAAACTTCCAGAAGGACTAGATGTTTCAAATGAGGACTTCCTTGTGTCCAGCCTATACACAGTAGTGCTGAAGAAACTATATACACGGAACGGGTTCTATCAGAAAGTGTCTTCTAAGTAGGAACCTTCACGGAAGTCTAGAGAAGACTTCGTTGCTTCTATCTCCTTCTCTCTACAGCCAACAGGTAGATGTGGGCACACTTGTCACTGCCATGTGATGTTACAATTTCACTTTCCAAAGTCCTTTTCAGAGGACAGTCTTTCTAGGGAATTTAACACAAAATACACAACACGTGTGAGTTTATGTACACTACTTTTGTCATACATCGGCACCTCTTTAATATTACTGACTAGATATTGTAAAATGAGGACTCCTTTGTCCAGTATATACGCATCATGTACATTACAGCAATGTAAATGAAATACATGTAACATATAGCACAATAGCTAAGAGCGAATGTTCTAGCACACACTCGCAAACACACAGTTTGGAATCTCTTCCCACCCACTTCTCTCAACCCGATAAACAATGTACAAGAGAGTATACTCTTCACCAAAGGGACTTAACAATTCTACTGCTAAACGGTTCCTATCACTTTTTAAAACCTACTTGACAGGAGTGGTAATCCACTGCTCCTACTTTTACACACACCAAGCACTTGTACACATCTAGAAGACTCGGTATCTCAGACGCAGCACTACTAAAACTTCATGGAAAATACTTAGTTCAAAGAAGGTATGTGGGCTTCAATTTGTTTGCACCAAGATAAGCTTCTTTTGATTTCATTTTCCATGAACTTTCTGTAGTACCCTGGTAAGGCCTTGCTTACCATGAACACAACACCGTTAAACAAAACTGCACAAAGGTCACAATGGATAGGATCTGGGGTATTCATTAAGTATGACCAGTTTGGTCTGGAGCCAATCCCTCCTCACTTTTCTCCCTTCACTTGATCCAGTGCACAAGTACAAGCTTATGTAATGCTTAAAGATGGCTTCACACACCGACATCCAAAAGTCATTTAGGGAGGACAAGCTTTCCTGTGAATTTCAATACAAATAGATAACATATGCTAGTTTTCCCATTGCCATACACTGGCAACCTCCTTAACATCTGAAATCTAGATGTTACAACATTAGGACTCGATTGTCCTTTATATACACTGTATACAGAGTAAAACAAAATGCAGAAAACATACAGGGAAACGGCTGAAAACATCCCAAGCAGGAACATCTTTCTCGGTTCCTCACCTCCACCTGCTCCAAACCATGGAACTTGCACAGATGGCACAAGGCTCGCAGTGGTGCCAACAATTCCATGTCCATGAGATGCAGCAAAGTGAAACACATTGCACAACGCACACACCCAGGAAGACAGTGGTCTTGCCTCACAAGAGGCTCAGTGGCGCGGAGCTCTATGGACTTCCGTCCTCTCTTTCAGATCCTCCTCCCACAAATCCTTCCCCAAACACAAGGTCTACCACTCAGGAGTGAGTCTGGCCACTCGCCAACACCCCCCCCCAAAAAAAAACTTTCATAGTTTCATATGCATTGAAACAAAAAGTCTATTTAGAAAATGTGTTAACCCGTTTCTTCTACTTTGAACATATATCAGGCACTGCAGAACATCTAGTAAGACTAGACATTTCAAAAAAGTACTCAGGACTGTCAACTCTACATAGCAGTCAGAAAACACACACAGAAAACGATAGTTGCAACAAGGACATGTCCTTCTCCAATGACCAGGCTAACTAGAATCTTCCTTCCTCCCCTTCGCTCCACTCCAGGTCCTCCAAACTTCTGAAAGTCCACAGCTGCTTGTCTCTCCCGGGACACCACCAAGAGTGGCTTAATCAAGGCGGTTCACAGTCACTTCCTGAAGAGCTTTCTTTCCTTTAATAATCCAGACGAATGGGCTTTTGCAAGACCTGTGATTTTTCTAAGTCCAATCTCAAATGTGTCAGTAAGCTTTTCCATCTCGAAGGACTGCAAGCAGCCACGCGTTTTGTTTGTAAAGGCCAAGGGGAAAGCTGAGAACAGCTTTTTCCAGTGATATCCACAGGCCTTCTGAAAGGGGCCAGGACACCTTTGTTCCAAGGGCGGCCGGCCTCCCCCTGATGACACCACCATCCATGGGAGGTGAGACTGCCCGTCCATGCCCAGGGCCACTCACTGCTCTGCCGCCCGTCCTCAGGGATCTGCTCACTGCCAGGCCACTGAGTCCTCAGTGGTCATCATCATCCTCCTCGGCTTTCGACCAGGTGAGGTGTTGGTCAACAAGGCAGTGCTCACCACAGGTCCCAGATGTGCGCAGGCCCAATACCTGAAAACATGGCTGCTCTGGGGTCCTCCAGCTCCCGATGGCCGCTGCAGCATGCGAGCGGCCTCACCGGCACTTCTCCAAGGTGCAGCGTCTGTCTTTGGCGACTCAGAGCGGGAGCCTCACTGAGGCTCCACGGGGTTGGGCCTGGAGCCCCAGCCATAAATTTTGATATTTTTTATCATCATTCATTTCCGGAAATTCTTTGATTTCTTCTATGACCCACGTTTCATTGAGGAGCATGTTTTTCAGGCATCTTAAGTTTGCATATATTTAATTTTGGGGGATTCCCTTCCTTTCAATTGTTTTGAATAGCTTGTGAAGAATTGAATTACTTCTTTATATATCTGGTAGAATTCAGAGTAAAGCCATCTGGTCCTGGGATTTTGTTTGTGGGAGTTCTTTCTCTGAGATTCAACCTCCCTTTTGCTCATTGGTGTGTTTAGATGTTCTATGTCTACTTTACTCAACTTAGGTAGATTGCATCTGTCCCAGAATCTATATATTTCTTCTAGGCTGGCATAAACCTCTTTGAAGTATTTCCTCAGGATTCTGTTTATTTCTGTGGTATCTGTCATTAAGTTTTTCAAAACTTTGATTTTGTTGATTTGTTTTCCCCTCTTTTTTGGGGGGGGGGTATTTGGGCAAATGTTGTGTCAATGTTGTTTAATTTAATTTTATATTTTTAAAAGACTTTATTTCTTTATTTGAGAGGTAGAGTTATAGACAGTGAGAGGAAGAGACAGAGAGAAAGGTCTTCCTTCCGTTGGTTCACTCCAGAAATGGCTGCAACAGCCAGAGCTGCACCGATCTGAAGCCAGGAGCCAGGAGCCAGGAGCTTCTTTCAGGTCTCCCACAAGAGTGCAGGGGACCAAGCACACAGGCCATCTTCTACTGCTTTCCCAGGCCACAGCAGAGATTACTTTTATAAACTACTGTTCATTTAGGAGCATGTTGTTCAATCTTGATGTGTTTGCATATGTTCTTCAGATTCCTGAGTTGTTGGATTTGAACTTTTTTTTTTGCAGGCTCCATCCACTTTATTTTTCTCAAGTAAAAACCTATGTTGTGGCCACAGCTGGAGCCTGGGTCCTCTGCACGGACACCCCGGTATGCGTCTTCATGAGGTGGTTGGTGAACTCCTGGTAGGGAGACTTGGTGAACACGGTCTCTTTCCAGAGGTTGGGGGTCAGGTAGCTGTAGGTCTTGGAGATGGCATCGAAGGTGGCCTTGGCGAAGTTGCCGAGGGTGGCAGTGCAGCCCCGGGCTGAGGTGTAGCAGTCGTCAATGCCAGCCATCAGCAGCAGCTTCTTGGGGACAGGGTCGGAGACAATCCCGGTGCCCCTGGGCGCGGGGATGAGGCGCACCAGCAGAGCCACAGCGGCCGGTCACCTTGCACGGCACTGTGTGTGTGTGGGGCTTGCTGATCTTGTTCCCCCAGTAGCCTCTCCGCACAGGCACGATGGACAGCTTGGCCAGGATGATGGCCCCTCGGATGGCGGTGGCCACCTCCTTGGAGCACTTCACGCCCAGGCCAATGTGGCCGTTGTAGTCCCCTGATGGCCACAAATGCCTTGAAGCGGGTCTGCTGGCCGGCCCGCGTCTGCTTCTGCACCGGCATGATCTTCAGCATCTCGTCCTTGAGGGCGGCGCCCAGGAAGAAGTCGATGATCTCGGACTCCTTGATGGGCAGGGAGAACAGGTAGACCTCCTCCAGGGACTTGATCTTCATGTCCTTAACCAGGCGGCCCAGCTTGGTGACCGGCAGCCACTCCTTGTCCTGATCAGAGAGTTGTGCGCTATGATTTTGATTTTTTTTTAATTTGATGAGACTTGCTTTATGGCCTCCTATACGACCTATTCTGGAGAAAGCTCCTTGCA